CCCCCGGGGCGGCTGCGGGAGCCAGCAGCCCAGGAAGACACTGAACAAAGCCGCGCAGGACCCGGGGCCGGACCCCCCGGCGCTTCCAGCTGACCTGGAAGCGCCGCGGGTCCGGCCCCGGGTCCTCCGCCGCTTTGCTCAGCGTCTCCCTGGTCTGCTGGCTCCCCCAGCAGACCAGGGAGACGGGGAGCAGCTTTTCTCACCCTGGAGGAGGCGGGCGGCGGGACCAGGCGTCCCGCCACTCCAGTCCTCCGGGAGGAGAAAATCCCCATTCGTAACTTACGTCGGATCCGCGTAACTCGAGGACTGCCTCTACATTTAAATAGCCACTTGAGAACATTCAGGAAGTGTAACTTGAAAGACAGATTTGAGGTTAGAAGCATAAAAGACTGCATAAGTATAAGACGCTATTTCCATTTAACCTCATTGAGAGAGAAATGATTATTAAATAGAAAGAGACATCTTCAATCAATCACCAGGAAGAACATGCCATGTTTAGAAATAAAGGCCTTCATTGTCCAAGTGCTATATTGAGTTATTATTTGTTACTGTTGGCAGTTAGTGTTTGTTAGAATCTACAAACATACTAGTAGACAATTCCCATCCTCAAAAGTATTAAACAAACCTGTAATATAAAAATATTTAATTCCCAAGTTAAGACTAAGCATGGGGAAAAGAGCCTTAAATACCTAGAAATGTTAAATATCTGAATCTGCAAAAGCAGTGAGGAGTCCCGTGGCACCTTATAGACTAACTGAAGTGTAGGAGCATAAGCTTTCATGGGCAAAGACCCACTTCGTCAGATGCATGTACTGCATCTACATGCATCTGACGAAGTGGGTCTTTGCCCATGAAAGCTTATGCTCCTACACTTCAGTTAGTCTATAAGGTGCCACGGGACTCCTCACTGCTTTTGCAGATTCAGATATTTAACATTTCTAGGTATTTAAGGCTCTTTTCCCCATGCTTAGTCTTAACTTGGGAATCTCCTCACTGCTTTTGTAGAAATGTTAGTGGCTTTGAAGTTAGCATTTCTAATAGTGCCACTGTCATGTTAACAGGGACATCAACTTACATAGTTTTGGTTTGGCTAGGCTAATTAGAACAGACTATTTTAGTCAGAAAAACTCTTATGTCTAAAATATAAGAATTGTATTTTTTCCTGCAGATACATAGGAGGATAATTTTGAGTAGGACTAAACCAAACTCCCCATTCCCACCCAGCCTAATTCCTCTGTCCACATACTTGCCACTTCAGTTTGTTTTGCTGGCACTATTGCTGGCAAACTTTCTCTTGCAGGGTATAGGGAAGCATGCATGTGAGTTACAACAGAGCAGATTACCACATGCAATAGAAAATAAATGCATAACAAAATAGTGAAACTGACTGAACTGTCATATTCAGAGAGATTAGAGGAACCAAAAAAACACTCCCTTCCCTCCACGTTAGGTGTTAAAATAACCCTACGTATAACTTTTCAGAGTCAAAAAAATAGCTTTTTCAGTTACTATCCACTTAGTTACACTGATGCTAATATAAAAGTAGTTAAAGGAAACATATAAATACTAAGACAGTTTAAAGTTTAATATCAAAAGTAGACCTTTACTAGCCAAAAAGTTAGCACCTTTGGGTGGGACTCAGATCTACAGAATTGCTTCTGAGGGTTGTACTTTGGATCACTGACTGTTCAGGTCTGTCTGTTTTTCCAACCCTCTTCCCCCAAACTCTCCCTCCCCCCCCCCCCTTTTCTTCAGTTCTGGAAAAACTGCTTAAATCCATGTAACTTAGTATCAATTCACCATGCTGGCAGGGTAAATTTCAGAACAATTCTCCAGCAGAATCTAAGTTAATAAAATCAGTTGTAGATGTGAAGCTTTAAGATTAAAGACCTTTGTAGTACTCAGTAAAAAGAAAACAGAATCTGACAGAGGACTGGAGTTTTATATATATATAAAAAAATGTATTTACATAGAACACAACGTTATACAAGTCCTATAAACTATATCAGACTTAAGCAAGCACATTCAGAACCAAGCATGCACATTACATGTTAGCACTAAATTATGCTTTCAATATTAGGGTCAAATACTTAAATAATCAGGGTCAAATAAAAGATTTGCTTTTATATCTTGGATAACTGATAAGACTGGCTACTCCAGGATGGTGTTTTGGTTTTGGTTTGTTTTTTGAGAAGACAAAGCTTAATGGTTTATCCCACTCACGCATTTAGTGGAATAATAAGTCAACTTGAAAGCACACGGCCATCAAATGCTGATTTTACAAGTCATACATACACCCCAAAATAAAAGTGGTATTGGTGGGAATGAAGGGGGGGAAAAAAAAAAGAGGTTACAAGATTTTATTACTGGATATTTGTAGTTTCAATACAGGAATGACACCATCAAGCTACACTATATAATGGAAGGGAAGGTATAGAGCACTGTTTGCTGTCCAGCATAAAGTATGAAAACTGTACCTACTCTTTCATTCTCAAAATTCATAGTGGAAAAAAGCAGCACTTTCTAGCATTAACAAAATGAAAAGCATTTGAAAAGTTAAAAAACCCACATACGATTCTAATGTTATAAGAATAATGCCATTCCTGCATGTAACTGTATTATAATAGAGCCACATGCAAGCTCATGTATACAAACACACACACACACACAAATATCACATCACAACAGTCCATGCACATTTGCTAGAAAGCTGAAATGCTGTACCGAGATTTTGAATGCCGGAGTTACCACTAGTTAGTACAAACTGCAGATGTAGAGATAGACTGCTAGCTTAGAGCGCTTTCAGAATTTTGAATTATCCACTCAATAGCATCCCACCCCTGGAGTAACACAGAAAAGATTAACACATGGCACAAAATTCATCATTGTAGTATTCAGGCATCAGGCTTGTAGTCAAACTTTCAGAGCAAAATTCAACATTTACTTCAGCATTTCAAGATGCAGCAGGAAA